TCAAACTTTCAATCCTCCTGCCTCAGCCTGGGAAGTAGCTGGGAAATCCAGTCAATTCTACAAATAATAAGTAAATTTCATTCATTCCATCCATGTGGATGATGCCTACCAGGGGTTTCTATGTTAAGTCACCTACCTTCTAGTCCATTCTCTGCTTTGCAACCATAGTTTACTCATCTGTACAACTGAAATAACACCTAGCCAGCACAGTGGTACATGCCTGTAATCCAGCAGCTTGGGAGGCTGAGGCAGAAAATTACAGATTCAAAGCCAGTCTTGGCAACTTGGTGAGACCCTGTCTCAAAAAAAAAAAAAAAAAAAAGGTCTGGGGCTCAGTGGTTAGGCACACCTGGGTTCAATCCCTGATACCAAAACAACAATAAAAAAATAAAGAACCCTTTTCCTATGTCTAAGTAAGCTAAACAATGTGAAGGTATTTTGTAGGATACAGCATTAAACAAAAAAATATAGTACTGTTGCCTTCTCATGACACTGTAAGCATGGTGCAGACTACAATTATACCTGGTGGATCAAAGGCTTATGTGAAAAAATCATCATAGAAAACTCACATCTTACTATGTCTAATAATTAGTTTTTCAGGATGCAGTAATAAGGAGTTCAGCTTTAGCACTACAGAGCTGCTTTTTTCTCTTCCTTTCTTTGGGGGGTGGGGGGCAGACGAGAGATTGAACCCAGGGTCACTTAACCCTTGAGCCACATACCAGGCCTTTGTTTTTATTTTTTATTTTGATACAGGGTCTTGCTAAATTGCTTTGGGCCTAAATTGCTGAGGGTATTGAACTTGGGATCATCCTGCCTCAGCCTCCCAACTCACTGGGATTACAGGTATGCATCACCTTACCCAGCACTACTACAGAGCAGTGTTGGGAGGAAGGGATATGGAGCTAATATCCCTTATATTATATATATGAAATAATAAGACCAGATTTTATAGGGCTGAGTTTACCTATTCTTTATAGATCTTAATTTAAGAATACTTGGAAACCTTGCAATTCTGCAAGGTGGCTCTCTCCTATCACCCTTCACCAAGGCAGTGCAAAKAAATGTATATGGGGCAGAGATAGGCTAAATAACAGACCCCTAAGATATCCAATACTATTTCTTGGAAACTACAAATGTTATCCACGCTGTGTGCAGTGTAGTCATAGTGAYTCAGGAGGCTGATATAGGAGGATTTAAGTTCCAGGCCAGCCTCAGCAACTTTAACATGTCTCAAACATAAATAAGTAAAAAGGATTGGGGATGTGGCTCAGTGGTAAAGTGCCCCTGGTTTTGATTCCCAGTACCAATAAAAACAAACCAAAAAATTGAGGTTAACTGAGATAGCAAAAGGGACTTTGCAGATGTGATTAGACCACAGTAGAAGATGTGATGACAGAAACAAGAGGTTGGAGTGATGAGAGGAAGGCCTGCCTGTAAACCAAAGAATGCAGGCAGTTTCCARAAGTTAGACAAGGCAAAGAAATAAATTCTTCCCTGGAGCCTCCAAAAGGAATGCGAAAATTTTGACTTAGATTTTTGGCTTTCCAGACTATAAGAATAAATTTGTTGTTTTAAACCACTAAGTTTGTGATGATCTGTTGTAGCAGTAAAAAGTAACACAGGGGCTCCAACTAAATGAGATTAGCTTACAAGGCCAAGTGGCAACTGTTCCAAACAGCTTGATAGCCCCAGTGACTAAATGGATATGCAAAGAATTTGTCTACATCGTTAACAGAACATTTCAGACCACAGAAAGCTTTGAGAGATGTTTCAGTATCTGAACCTGACTTGTTTCCTAGTAACATTTTTTTAAAAAATATTTATGGACACAATACAATGCCTTTATTTTTATGGGTGCTAAGAATGGAACCCGGGTCCCCCCTGTGCTAGGGGAGCACTCTWCCGCTGAGCSACAATCCCAGGCCCTCCTAGTAACATTTTATTGGCCAAGCAGTTACCTGACTTGTTGAGAGGGACCATTGTATTTCAAGTCTGTGGCAGTTAGTGTAAAAGAAAATATGTAATTAGCACTCATAAAGATGAGGCCCTGGTACCAAGAGGATAATGATTGCATAATGGTCTGACAGACCTTGAAGTCAGAATATCTTTGGCCCCAGAAAAGATCATCTTATCTTCAAATCACCTTAATTTAGGAGTCAGCACCAAGAATAATGAGCCACTGTAATCCCAGCGGCTTAAGAGGCTGAGGCAGGAGGATTGTGAGTTCAAAGCCAGCCTCAGCAAAAGCAAGGCACTAAGAAACTCAGTGAGGGCTGGGGATGTGGCTCAAGCGGTAGCGCGCTCTCCTGGAATGCGTGCGGCCCGGGTTCGATCCTCAGCACCACATTCCAACAAAGATGTTGTGTCCGCCGAGAACTAAAAAATAAATATTAAAAAAAAATTCTCTCTCTCTCTCTCTCTCCTCTCTCACTCTCTCTTAAAAAAAAAAAAAAAAAAAGAAACTCAGTGAGACCCCTCTAAATAAATACAAAATAGGGCTGGGGATGAGGCTCAGTTATCTAGTGCCCCTGAGTTCAATCCCTGGGACCAAAAAAAAGAATAATAATGAGCTGTATGTGTATTAATGTTACTGGGGATTAAACCCAGTGATGTTGTACCACCAAGCTACATCCATAGTCCTTTATATCTTTTATTAGAGACACAGTCTTACTAAATTACCCAGGCTAGCCTCAAATTTCTGATCCTCCTGCCTTAGCCTCCTGAGTTGCTGGGATTAAAGACGTGTACCACCTCTCTGGACCATTCTGAAATAGAGAATATACTTTAACCTTTTATTTACACTAAATAGAGATATACTTTAACCTTTTACCACAGGCTACATCCCCAGTACATTTTATTTTGAGACAGGTTCTCRCTAAGTTGTTGAGGATGGCCTTGAGCTGGCCTTGCCTGCCTCCCAAGTTGCTGGGATTATAGGCATGTACCACCACATCTAGCTCATACTTTTAACATTTTAAAAAATATATTTTATAGAATCTGATCATCTCCAAAATGTTATAATTTTACCATACAGTCTATATAAAAATGAGATACTTTTACATACTAAGTTTTCAAAGCCTGGTATGCATTTTATACTTCCATTTCATCTCCACTTGGACCAACCCCATCTTCAGTTTCACATACACTGTCATGGCAAATCAAGAAGTACTGTTTAGGGCTGGGGCTGTAGCTCACCAGTAGAGTGCTTGCCTAGACTCATGAGGCACTGAGTTCGATCCTCAGTACCAYATAAAAATGAATGAATAAAATAAAGGTAGGTGCTGGGGCTAGGGCTGAGCGGTAGAGTGCTTGCCTAGCAAGTGCAAGGCCCTGGGTTTGATCTTCAGCACCACATAAAAATAAGTAAAGGTATTGTGTCCAACTATAACTAAAAAAAAAAAAACAGATATTAAAAATAAATAAATAAAGGTATTGTGTCATCTACAACTTAAAAAAAAAAAGTACTATTTAATTCTTTCCATATATTCAGCATGTT